AGCCAGCGGATGCTGGCTGGGGAATTCTGGGAGTTGAAGTCCGGACATCTTCAAGTTGCCAAGGTTGAGAAACACTGCTCTAGAACCTGTCAGAACCGGCTAAATCTCATCCCTGGCCTGGACTGACACCCCTCCCCTACCCGTTTTCTCCTTCTGGCTGCAGATGTGAAGTACATGGAGAATTCCAGCTTGGTGAAGGAAGTCCAGGATAAAGCCAACACAGCTCTGATGGAATACACCCTCTGCCATTATCCGCACACCATGGACAAATTCCGCCACCTGCTGATGCAGCTGGAGGATATCCGGGCCCTCAGCATGCAGGCCGAAGAATACCTGTACCATAAGCACCTGGGTGGGGAGGTGCCCTGCAACAACCTGCTCATTGAAATGCTCCACGCTAAGCGGACTTGAGGACTTCGCTCTGCCCCAGGCGACCGACGGACGGACGGACGGACGGAGGAGGAGGCTGGGGCGGTGGGGGAGAGAGGGGTTGACAAATAGGGGAGAGCCCTCCCCAGCCTCTGGGGTTTTTCCCACCCTGAGTCCTTTCGTGGTCCAGCATGCTGGAGTCAGGCCCGTCCCCCCCTTTTTGTCCCAGGTGCTGGGATGTTTTTCCGGAGGGGATACTTCACTCTGGAGGGCAGCCCTTGGAGAGGGTTTGGAAGCTGGAAGTCTGTGGTGGGTGGGTCCCAAACACAGGGATGGGTGGGTGTTGGGGGCTGGGGGAGAGCAAGGGGGCCGCCCTGTCTTTCTTTCCCTGGCCCCTCGGTCCAGCTCCTCTCTGTGTCCCCGGAGCGGTGGTAGACATCCAAAAAGGATCAACCTACTAGCATCCCCTTGGGAGAAGTTGCCCTCTGCCAATATCTGATGCATTGGGCCCAGAAAATGGGGTGCAACCCCCTCCCCTGCGTGCCTCAAACGTCAGGAAGATGCTTTTGGGGTGTCCAGAGATCTGAGCAACTTTGGGAAGGCGCAGGGGTTCATTTGTCCCACCCACACCTCACCCCGCTTCTTGGTCTCACGGCAGGAAGCCCAGGTCTTGGTCAAAGTTTTCACCGTTTCGTTTTCACTTCAGTTCAGACGGCATCTCCCCAGGTGTGCGCTTGGTCAACAGTACGGGTGACTCATGAGTTGGCGGCCGCATCCTAATGAAGTTGGGTCCTCTCCNTGCTGGCTGGGGAATTCTGGGAGTTGAAGTCCAGACATCTTCAAGTTGCTAAGGTTGAGAAACACTGTCCTAGATGTTGTGAAGGTGTCCAGCTGGTCTATAAGGGCCACCAACCTCTTGACTTGATACAGCATGAAGGCCATCTTAACATCCTTCTCCAACAAAGCATCCAAGTTGGAAGGGGACCTTGTAGGTGATGTAGTCCAACACCCACCGAACCCCACCCAAGCGGGAGATCCTACCCCATTTCTGACAGATGGCAGTCCAGTCTCTTCTTGAAAGCTTCCATGGATGGAGCTCCCACAACGTCTGAAGGCAACTTCAGTTCCATGGATTGATTGTTCTCCCTGTCAGAAAGTTCCTCCTTATTTCGAGGTTGAATCTCTCTTTGGTCAGTTTCCATCCATTATTCTTTGTCTGGCCTTCAGGTGCTTTGGACAATAGCTTGACCTCTTCCTCTATGTTGCAGCTCCTCAAATATTGGAAGGCTGCTACCCTGTCTCCCCTGGTCCTTCTCTTCCCTAGACTAGCCATGCCCAGTTCCTGCAACCCTTCATCCTATGTTTTAGCCTCCAGTGTCCTTATCACCTTGGTTGCTCTTCTCTGCGCTCTTTCTAGAGTCTCAACACCCATCTTTTCCACATGGGAGGATTGCCATTCCCCCCCACCCGCCCTCCGCATTGCGTTAAAATGCATTCGTCCTAGAGCTAGAGGGACAGACGGCTACCTGTGCCTACCTCCCCTCCTCGGCCCTGCGTTCGAGTGTTAGCGGGCAGGGGCCATCCTGTACCTTTGCCTTCTTTGAGGCTCTGCTTGCACCCAGCTACCTCTCCTATTATGCGCCCCCCCACCCAACTCCGGCTGTAATTGTGCTCTGCCAGAGAATTTTCCACATTATACCCGCCACCCCTCCCCGTGGCACAATCCGTGCGTTATCCCTGCGCACATGTGCACAAGAGTCTTGCCATTTCGAGCCATCAATAGATTTCTCTCCCTCTTTCTCTCTCTCTCTCTCTCTCTTTCTTCTTCCTCTTGTCCCCTCCCTCTTCCTAAGTAGCTAAAGAGGTTTAATTAAAATTAGGGCTTTTCCAAATGGCAATATTTATGAGGATGGCACAGGTTACCTTTGTTCTCCAGGAGGGTTTAATAGAGCCTTAATGGATTGACCTACCCTGCATCCTCATATGGGCGGCTGACTTCCATTCTCCCAGCAGCCACTCCAAGCGAGGCGGGGTGGGGGGGAGCGGGGGGGCGACAGCGAGAAAACGGCTTTTTATTGCGAGCCGCATTCCCATAAGCGATGGCAATTTATCAGAAGTCTCCGGCAAACAAAAGGGACTGTGAATGAGGAGAACACTTGAGCGCATAGAAATATTGTCGGTCCCCCCCCCTTTTCCCCTTTCCAGTGGTTCCCCCCTCCCTTCTTCTCCAGGGACTGGGGTGGGGGGCTTTTGTTACAGGATGGCGGCGTCTTCTTCTTCGCAACGGTGGCAGGGGGGGGGACCTCTTCCCCCGGAGAGAGCTGAGCTGGGGATGGTGGGGGGGGGGAACGGCATTCTTTATGCTCCCCGTGGCAGGAATGAAAAGATTATTCAAATATTCAATTAAACTGTGAATAGGGTGCCTTCTCCAAACCAGGTGAGTTCATCGCCACGAACCTGCAATTGTCACGCCCAGCGCAGAGGAGAGAAAAAGAGAGAGAGAGAGAGAGAAAGAAAGAGAGAGAGAGAGAGAGAAAGAGAGTTGACATTTAGTGAAGATGCGTACTTTCTGGTGGTGGTGGGGGGAGAGCAATGGGAGGGAAGGTTGTTTGTTTTCACACATAAACACACATACCTATTACTTTCTATTATCCCCCCCCTCTCAATCTTCCATGCAAAAATTGCAGCCGCACACATTCAGCCGAGGGGAAGCGATGGGGAGGCTCCCTGCCCATCCTGGAATTGGGTAGGGCGTGGCGTGGCTCGGCCTGACTCTTCTTGGGTACTCCTTCTGCAGGCCAGGGTCTTTCAGGAAGGCCAGAGGTTGCAGAGATCTCCTGGGGTTGGTTTTTTTTTGGGGGGGGGGTGGATCCTAGAGACATGATCATAATTTCCCAGGAATTATTCATAAGATTGAAAATGCCGAGTTAAAGAGGATATTTGTAGCCCAGGGTTGCAACGAGGGGGGTCCGGTGGTCTCTGAGCTTGGGAGGTTTCCGGGCTGACATTTCGCGGCCCAAACTCGGTGACATCATCAGTGCTAGACAGATGTGGGTTATGCTCCCTTCCAGCACTGATGATGTTACCTAGTTAGGCCATGAAATGTCTGCAAGAAAAACCACCCAGCTCAGAGAGCACCAAGGATTGGCATCAAGATTGCAATAATTCTCTATCCTTTGGGAGAAATTGATCCTCCTGCTCCTGCTCCTGCTCTTCCTCCTCCTCCTCCCCCCTCCCTTGGACTGATGAGGTTACCTATTTGGGCCATGAAACACCTGCAAGAAAATAGCCAAGCTCAGAGAGCACCAAGGATCCTACAGTTCTTCCTCTTCTCTGCAAGTCCACTCCCTTCTAGCACTGATGATGTTACCTAGTTGGGCCATGAAACGTTCATGAGAAAACCACCAAGCTTAGAAGCACCAAGGACCCACAGTCCTCCTCCTCTTCTTTCTCCTCCTCCTCCTCCTCCTCCCCCTCCTCCCCCCTTCTAGGACTGATGAGGTTACCAAGGACCCTACGGACGTCCTCCTCCTTCCTTTCTCCTTCTTCCTCCTTCATCCCTCTTCCTCCCTCCCTTTCTCCTTCATCCCCTCCCCTCTAGCACTGATGATGTTACCTAGTTGGGCCATGAAACGTCTGCAAGAAAACAAGAAAATAGCCAAGCTCAGAGAGCACCAAGGACCCTACAGTTCTCCTCCCCTCCCCTTCTTCCTCCTCCTCCTCTTCCTCCTCCTCTTCCTCCTCCTCCTCCTCTTCCCCCTGCTCCTCCTCCCAGCAAACCCCACTCCCTTCTAGCACTGATGATGTTACCTAGTTGGGCCATGAAACGTTCATGAGAAAACCACCAAGCTTAGAAGCACCAAGGACCCACAGTCCTCCTCCTCTTCTTTCTCCTCCTCCTCTTCTTTCTCCTCTTCCTCCTCCTCTTCCTCCTCCCCCCCCCCAGCAAACCCCACTCCCTTCCAGCACTGATGAGGTTACCTAGTTGGGCCATGAAACACCTGCAAGAAAATCACCCTGCTCAGAGAGCACCAAAGATTGCAATAATTCTCCATCCTTTTGGAGACGTTTTCAAGGGTGCAGAGTTAATACTGACACGACTGCGCATAATGTAAGCATTTCTCAACCTCGGAATACTTCAAGATACGTGGACTTTGATTCCCAGAATTCTCCAGGGCAAGCATTTTCCCCACTCCCAGAATTCTATGGCAGGCTGAGGAATTCTGGGAATTGAAGTCCACACATGGTTGCCATGATGTGGAGACTCTGGAAAGAGGGCAGAGAAGAGCAACGAAGATGATTAGGGGACTGGAGGCTAAAACCTATGAAGAACAGTTGCAGGAATTGGGTTGTGTCTAGTTTAATGAAAAGAAGGACTAGAGACATGATAGCACTGTTCTGATATCTCAGGGGCTGCCACAAAGAAGAGGGAGTCAAGCTAGTCTCCAAAGCACCTGAAGGCAAGAAGCAATGGGTGGAAATTAATCAAGGAGAGAAGCAACTTAGAACTAAGGAGGAATTTCCTGACAGTTAGAACAATTAATCAGTGGAACGACTTGCCTTCAGAAGTTGTGAATGCTCCAACACTAAGGTTTTCAAGAAGAGATTGGATAACCATTTGTCTGAAGGGGTGTAGGGTTTCCTGCCTAGGCAGGGGGTTGGACTAGAAGACCTCCAAGGTCCCTTCCAACTCTGTTATTCTATTCCATTCATCTTGAAGAGAGAATTGGTGATTCAATCAAGAGCTGTAGTATTAATTAAGGTAAAGGTTCCTCTCATACATCTGTGCTAGTCGTTCCTGACTCTAGGGGGCGGTGCTCATCTCCGTTTCAAAGCCAAAGAGCCAGCGCTGTGCGAAGCGCTCCGTGGTCATGTGGCTGGCGTGACTCAACGCCGAAGGCGCACGGAACGCTGTTGCCTTCCCACCAAAGGTGGCTCCTACTTTTCTACTTGCATATTTTACGTGCTTTCAAACTGCTGGGCTGGCAGAAGTTGGGTCAAGTCCCGGGAGCTCCCTCTGTTACGTAGCGCTCGGGATTCGA